TGTGCTTTTGCATCACATTTTTCAGAACTCAAGATTATGTTTTAAATTTAGCCTAGTGCCAGAGAGAATCTGTGCACCTGTGTGTTGTGTTCAAAGTAAAAGGCATTCCCAAGACCCAGATTTATCAGGAAAGAGGTGAGGGAGCAAGTCAGAGCTTGGAAGAGGTATCCCTTAGCCCAGGCAAAGAAGTTTTCCTGGTCCCTGGCTAACTCTGTGCCTTTCAATGCATTGTACAAATACCTTGGGTCAAGGAATGCTGCGCATAAAAACCAAACCTGTTGTCATGGTTTAACCTCAGCCGGCAACTAAGTACCATACAGCTGCTTGCTCACTCCACCCCTCAGTGGGATGGGGCAGAGAATCAAAAAAAAAAAAAGTAAAACCCGTGGTTGACATAAGGACAGTTTAACAGGACAGCAAAGGAAGACAAAATAACAACAATAATAACGATAAAAGAATATACAAAACAAGTGATGCAAAATGCAGTTGCTCACTACCCGCTGACCGACGCCCAGCCAGTCCCCGAGCAGCAATTGCTGCCCCCCAGCCAACTCCCCCCAGCTTATATACTGAGCATGACGTCATATGGTATGGAATACCCCTTTGGCCGGTTTGGGTCTGCTGTTCTGGCTATGCTCCGTCGCAGCTTCTTGTGCACCTGGCAGAGCATGGGAAGCTGAAAGTGTGTAAACACTACTTAACAACCACTAAAACATCAGTGTGTTATCAACATTATTCTCATACTAAATCCAAAACACAGCACTATGTCAGCTACTAGGAAGAAAATTAGCTTTATCCCAGCCAAAACCAGGACACCAGTTCTTCCCAAAGCTAAAGTACATCTGGCAGAGCTTACTAATCAGGCATCCACCCACATTAAAGCATCTGTGAGGTTCCAACCCAAGTTGCCCATGGAGACATTACAGTCACGCTGGAGTGGTACTATATCTGAGTTAAAAAGCCTCGCTGGCCCTGCTGGCTCTGCTCAGGACCAGTTCAAGTATTTCTGTAACTATGGCACGATGAATTCATAACACACCCACAGATAACTGTGAGTTAGCTGTACAAAATCATAGAGAATTGCTAAAATTTAGAAGCAAACAGCAAATACTGAGGTAAACTTGCTAAAATTGGCAAATAAAAAGCAGATCTCTCTTTCACTGATGATGTGATTCAGCAATATCTTCCCACACAGAGCATGTACTCAAATTTACCGCATTATACTCCTGTAATGATAGGCCTGAATTCATCCCACCTAAGCACAAACACTCAACAGAGTCAGTGGTCTAGAAGCACAGTCTTCCTCTGACATTACTGGTGAGAGGACATGCATCTCCAAGAGGCAATCAACCCACCTGGGATCTGAGGAAGCTCTGTACAACACACAGACAAAGCAAGAGACACGCACATCCTCACAGAGTTTATGATCTACCTAGGCAGCTAACAGATATGGGAAAGGATAATGAAAGGGTGAAGTAAGTTAGACAACACCACACGGTAGCTCACAAATGAAGCTAGAACTTGAATCCTAATTCAATGCCACAGGCAAAATTATCTTAAACAAAGACAATAGAAAAAATCTTTTGAACGTCTCTGTAGAATAGTATTGTAATCAGAGACAAAACAAAATCCAAAGTTTAATTTTATTATTTAGTTGTTGACAATTATTTGAGTCTTCCCCCTTCTCATATTCTATCTTATGTAGCTAGTATTGCTTCTGAAGAAACCTACCTTCAGTAGGAAATCATTAGCTAGTCTTCGGCAGCAGTTGTGCACTGTTACCTTTTTGTTAACAAAGTAGTCTATCATTGTTTTCAGTAATATTTTGGTCAAAACAATTCCTATATTATGTTTTCTACCACTGACAATAGGCTTATGAGCAAAATATTGAGGATCTGTTCTGAGTAAAATCTGGGTAAAGCATAAATATTGGAACATATATAGAATTATTATAGAATTAACTATCATGGAATTAAGTATTTCTGGAAACCAATACTATATTATTGGAACCTAAGATATTCTTAAAACTGTCATAAGAACATGGTCCTATTTTTAAAAAAATAAATTTATTGAAGTCTTCTCTCCTGAATAATACTGTACTTTGTTCTCAGTTCTCACATCTCTTAGTTTTTACTGACACATTTGATGGGACTTACCTTATTTCTCTTACACATTTCTCTAAAAGTTTCTGATCAGCTTGACATTTAACTCCTTATCAGTCATGGGTTGCAATTTCTTTTGTTACCTAGCTGTCTCCTTTACTCCTATGGGACAGACCTATTGTTTGTTCATCCCGTGTAAGTTTTCCGCAGTGATTCCCTCATGACTAGCTGCTTAGCAAATCTAGAAGTTTTTTTCCTTTCTCTTATTTGTTTCCAGTTTTCTGAAGTTATCCTTCACAAAAGGATACTTTGAGTGCAGAGTACTAAATCCTTAACACTGCTGACCTACTAAGAATGAAATCTAGCTTTAGACATTTGGGATACAACAAAGGAGCTATGACGGAAGCCAAAATAGCTTCAGATCTTTGTTTTTCATTCTCAGAATACTACACAATGGAAGGAAACAACTGCAGTTTTAAAATTTATAATTGTGAATAGAAATAAATCACAAAGAAAGATACTCAACATTTGTCCAGAAACCAAGCTGTTTGAGAAACCCACTTTCAGATAATAGTTCTGAGCCTGCCTTTCTTAGTGCTGCTTATATTCAGCTTCTAGGAGTGTCTGATGTAATTCAGTCCCTGCCCGAACCATTTGAAGAGAATCACTGATCTACTATGAAGGAAATCTTGTATAATGTTCAGATAATGCAGAACTCAAACTACAAAAAGGCCAGTCAAGATTTTCACTCAGTCAAGTGAACAGCTCTGTTTGCAAAGTATCTTATTAACGGTGGCCAGCATAATAGAAAAAGGTTTTATTCTCCTTTTTAAAGTCAGCTATAATTTAACTTTCTGTAAGTCTATAGACCTCTGGGTGATACAAACAGGTGCAGCTTTATCCACTTTACAAATATGTTATGCAGATCTACAGAGCTGAGGATCTGGTCTTACACTAATGGCAAAGCAATGCTAATATAAGAAAAAAATTGACATTTTAGTCTCTTACGTTTCTCAATGACTTACACAGAAAAAGAAACCACTGAGACAAAAATAGCTTTTCTGAACTATTTTAGGGCTATGGAAGAAAAGCATACATATCATGAAATTTGCTTATACTTTGAATGATCATCTCTGTATAGTACTTTTCAATTTTGCTTGGTGTTTATAAAATGTAAATCTGTATATAATTTGTAAAATTTCAGTAAATTATCTACTGTCTACATTTAAATCTAAAATGCTTTAGTAAATGTCAGTCTAGAAACAGGTAAATTAAATCTGTTATTCCTGTATAAGTCTAGCTTGTTATAAGGTGCTTTAGGTTACGATTTCTATAAGCATACTGATTCTAATCTGGGATTAATGAAGTAAATAAATAAATTTACTAAATGGCAGATAAAGCTCTGTGTGCATTTGACTTGTAAATACATCTGTAAAATATTTTATTAACAGCAGGTGGCAACCTTTGAAAATTGGACTGCAGCAGCATGGTTTTACTTTTAAATATACAAATGCACATTATTTCAAGAATGGTTTTATAAGAAGAAGCTGGTTGATCTGAATGTCTGCTTATTGAGAAGATTCACATTAACTTTCTCTTAGTGCTGTGCTTTTATAGAGAAAGTCTGCATTAACTATGGAAATTATAATTTGTTTAGGAATCCAATACAAATACTGTTTTGTACTGCTTTTCAAATAATGAATGTTTTATTACAATTAAAGAGATCGTTTGAGAAGTAAGTTAAATTTGGTTAACTTCTCCAGTATAGTATTATAACTTTATAACTACAAATAGTCCTTTTGTTGTTCTTTGAATGCAATGAGATTCATTGTTCCATTGTACTGCAAATACCTTGAAAACTGTTCTTTGATGGCTGTCAAGGGATAAACATGCTGCCTATGAAAATGTGGGCTTGATAATATAAAATTCACATCTGATATATTTCCCATTTCCTGACCCAAAGCATCCTTGCCATTTAAGTCTTTTCTCTGACTAGCAGAGAACATAGCCATCGAAATGTCCAGAAGTCAAAGAGATTGCTAGATTGATTTTTGCTGTTTCCTGGCTTGCAGTTCAGACGCATAATTTCCCAAGTGAATGGCTAAGACATCCTACACTACTTACACCTTATTTTGTTATTTTACACCTATCCAACAGTACATTCTTTTACTTTAGGACAATGTGTCTTTACAGATAAATATGATCAGATCCACCAGCTGTTCTTGTTTGCTCATCACTTTTGAAGAAGCTCAAAAGTACACTTTTATTAGCTTTCGGTGGGAAAGACTTAAATTTGTTGGGAGGGCAAAGTAAAAAGTGGTGCAAAGAAATCTTTTTAAGCATTGTATTAAAACAGGAAAGAAGTGCCTTTTTCATTTTAAATTACTTTCCTTTTTATAAAATGTTGCTCATGTATTCATTTGTGCTGTACAGTACAGTAAGGTACACTTTTTCCATTATCTGCACTGAAATTTACCCCAAATGTATTAGAAAGATGTGTCTTGTACACTGGATAAAAGGAATTCCATGATTTACAAAACTACCCCTGATATTCTGAGAAACAGTGCATTCAGAGAGAATTTCTGTAGCAAATCATCATCGCTCCAAATAATGTAGGCATACATAGGCAATGAAATATTTTTCTGATAACTTTCTATACTATGGTATTTTAATTTATTTAAAACATGATGCATTGCTCATATATCCAATAGGGCTGGTTTATACCTAGTTACATAAACACAACTCTACTGAGAAAAACAGCAGTGACTTGTTTAAAGCAAAGCCAGATTTGTCTCTTTATGGCTATTGCTCTATAGACATTGATTTTGTCTCTCCTAAAGACGACCATTAAAGTAACCCATACTGTAGATAATAACAATGATTATATTTGCATCTCACCGGGACACCTCTGTTCACTGCACCTTCTAACTTCCTCTCCAGTTCCTTCACACTGTTGCCCAGTCACAGCAGCACCTTGGCAGATCCTTATTCGTCTCTCCCAGCCACCGTCACAGGATTTGGAACAGCCACTCCAGTGGCCCCACTGGTTCCACTGGCCATTTGCTGTTTGGAAAAATATAGTTACAGTGGCAACATAACGGCCGTCATAAAGGAAGATATATAGGTTATTCTTTACTTGGGTAAGAGAAGACGACCCGCCAGATATTAGTAACAGTGACAGAAGTGGTAGATGAAGGCTCATGGAAGATGGGGAAGTCTCTACTTAGCTCCTAAATATGGGATGTTGTCTAAATTACTTGCATCTTGAGACAAAATAAAAAGAATTGGCACACATTAACTTGCATTTAGACTGCAAAACAGATATTTTATATTACTTTTATATTTTTTTTTCTATATATTTGTATAGCACTGTTGTATGGTAATGATACACATTTACAATGTGCATAACTACCCTTAAAAAAACTAAATAAAAACTTTTTTACATGTGATATTTTAGGAGCTTGATTTTTACATGCTCTGACAGTGCAAATGAGGCTTAAAGGTAGGTATAAATGTAATTTACCCACCCTGGAAGGCTGCTTTTATACTGCCAGAGCATCATGAAGTAGTCTCAGCATAAAAGGGAATCAGTTCATACTTGTTCACTTTCTAGATTCATGAGACAGTTTATCAAGTTTTCTAGGCCTCAAACATATCTTTCTAAAACTCTTGAATGTCCTTTAAATGGTGATAAAACTGAAAAGCTGATATGCAACCCGTCATGCAGTTTTCCCGGATGTACTCTAGGTTTTTATCTCCAGATGGCTCACCAAAGAAAAAAGAGCGAGGCCCCAGGCCACCCTCTGGAGGCAGCTGCTCTGCCCCTTTGCAGCCAGCTGAGGCCTGTGGCGGCCTGGGGGTCTGCCGGCGTACCCCCAGTTCCCTCAGAGGGTCAAAGCTACCAGCAAGACCGGCCCCTGAGTCACTCCTGAGCAGGAGAGGTAGAGCTGCAGCTCCCCGCGCCAGTCGGTACTCACCGGTGCACTCGGGGTTATAGCACTCCCGGCTCTCGGCCCAGGGCCCTCTGCACTCGGAGCCGCCGTGGGCCGCCGCTGTGCACTGCCGGCTCCGCTGCTGGGTGCCGTTGGAGCAGGTCACTGAGCACTGGCTCCACGAGCTCCACTCCTGCCACTGTCCGTCGACTGCCGCGGCAGGCACAAAAGAGATGGACACAGCAGAGTTACCACCTAAGCCGGGCAGGGCCTTGCGGCTTCCTTCTAGGTTAGGAGGTTTCAACTTAGGCCTGAATGCAGCCCCTCGGACTGGGCCTAGCCTGAAGACGCTTGACTGCTTACAGCAATCAAAGGCAAAAAGTGCCATTGTGAGCTACTTTAAAAAAATTTAAAACTGTTTTCCTTTTTCTTCAAGTAAAGAACGTTTCATCTCCTCTAACTGTACACTGATATAACAAAGGATAAATTATGATTTTCAAACCATACGGTTTGAAAGGCCTTATTAAAAACAAGGCTTTATTAAAAAGACTGGTCTGGGCTTTTTAGGCAGAAGTGGGGGCCAATCTTGTACCATGTAAACCCTGAGCCCTTCAAAGTGATTTACTACAGCTATGGCGATCACTCAGATGGGTCAGCTTATAAGATTTTTGGTCCTGACTGAAATTAGGTCTCTTTAGTTGAATAGGAAAAGGAAAACAGGAGTTACCACTTCGCCTCACATACAGTCTCTCTTCTCTTTACTTACAATGCTGAATATACTTTATAATTTATCCTCTCTGTAAGGTAAATGATCCCAGTTCTTCAACATTCTTTTGAGATAAAATGTAGGAGGACAGAAACAGCCTGCCTTCCTCCTCAGGTCTGCTTCTATGTTTGCATATTGCATAATCTTCTTTATGAATTTGTCAAGTTGCATTTTTAAACAATATAGATATGGTGACCAGTTCTGTATTTAGTATTTTGTATTAGCCCATACATTTGAGTTTGGACAAACATTTCCATGAGTAAAGGTTTTGGACTGTTATTTTTAATTTCGTATATCAGAAAGCTTCTTGAGGTAAATAAAAATATTAAAAAACAAAATAATGAAAAATATGAACCTATTAAGTTCCCATATAAGTGAAAAATTATATGGTCTATAATAGATAATAGGACTAGACAGTATTTTTGAAAACGGATAAGCATTATGCAATGTGTTACTACTGATTGTGCTAATTCAGAATCCTGCGTTCATACAGATTTCAGCAATCATCAGTTTCTCATTGCACCTGCAGTTACTCAATATAAACTCAAAATGTAGGTTGTAATACAATTTTTGATTAATACTCGTCCTTGAAAACCTGGTTTTATAACTACTATTGCCATAAAAGCACCACCACTGAAAACGAGTAATTTCACTTGGTGCACTTGCCAACCCCTGATTTCAGGATTCTTCTAAAGGAGGGTTGGAATAGCAGCTTCCTAAGTTGATGGTGTTAATAATTAAAATAGGAAGCAGAATCTTTAAGTTAGTGATTTAACATACTGTGTCTGTATGGGTGCACCACTTTTCAGGGAAATAGGGAGGTGAACTATTTTACTGTTGTCTGACAGTAACCACAGAACATTTCTAACAGTTTAAAGATACTATCCGTATCTCTAATGCCCAGGATCTCAGCAACTAGTGAATTAAATGAAGAGAGTTTTTGAGGTTTTTTCCTAAAGTTCTATATTAAATATTCTATGTAATGCCTGGTTGTGAACCACTTCTCAATGCAGATGCCTCTCAAGCTATGAAGCTGCGCTCTGATAATTTATTCAGCAGAAAACGGAAATCTTTCCAAACGTGGAAGCTAGTTGCACTCATTAATCATAAAAGCTTTATGTGAAGAAGAAAACATTATGGAAATTACATTTCAATGCACCCTCTTCAGTTTTATTCATTGCTATATAGTATTATTTAGGGTAGGAAAGATCAAATCAATTATTATAGTGTCTATGGAGAAAACTCATTCCGTGGCTTCTCATATATATTTCATACATCTCCCTTCTTTATCTTTAGGAGCAAATAGCGTGTGAGTTTTCTATTTCAGAAATACCATTAAAAGACTAAAAAATTCAATGTGAAGATTCCCTTATAAAATTGAACATTCAGATTACAGCAAATCTTAACATTCAGCAAATATTTAAACCATTACTTTTAAATGCAACCAGTATATAACTTCCTCTGGTGAAAGTAATTTAGGTACAAATGACTGTTCAAAATCCAGAATTCTCAAATAATTGCTTATTTTGACAGATTAGGTGTAATATCTTTTATGTTTCTTTGCAATACTGAAGTGAACTGAATGCATTAATTTCTTATCTGCTATTTTTATTTGGCATTTCTCCTGTTGTCAACTCTTCTTCCTGCTCATATATCATGTTAATTACTTTTGTGTAGGCACATGTAAAATTGCACAGCTGCCAACTTGACCAAAACCTGGATTAATTCAAAATTTTTGCAGCTGCATTCAAGACTAAAACTTTTCCACAAATTTTGTCCTAAAGTTGGAGTATGCTTTGCTGACCAGAAGAAAAGCAAAGTTCAGATTTAATAAAAATCTAAGAAATTTAGTTTTAATTCTGTGAGGCACTAACTTCCACTTTTTCCTTCATCTCTGTTTTCAAATGATCAGATAACCATTTGTTAATGAAACGTCCATCAACCCTTCTCAGGAAGAGCTACGGTAATGGAGAATCTATTTGCAGCGGTGTTGTGAACTGTGGATATTCAACAAGCCCACTTCAAGGGCAACCTTCACACTGTGAGACAGAACTCATGAAAGAAATTTCTCACATTACAGCTGACACCTGACACCTTTTTAATACCTAAGTATTACAAGGAATTCAATAAGCATAAATTATTATTATATATATGTAATCTTCTTTATGGTTATTGAACTCATTGTAATACTTAGGTATTTTATATATATACACACACACACACATACATAGATATGTGTATACATATATAGATACATACCTCTATATATATACATCAAAAATTTTTGTCAAAATTAATCATAACCTATGGACAAAATTTAAAAATCAATTTTGAAAGAATAGATGATTTTTTTGAGTTAGTTTCATTTTCAGTGGATGGAAGGTTTAACATGAAGCCCACACATTGTTTACTTGGTTAGGGGTAGTTTTTTGAAAGTGGTTTAGCAACTAACTCCCAGAAATGAGGCACTTAAAATTCTTACCATAAGGGCTTAATTGGGATTCAAATAACACCCTAGCTTGTGTCAGCCTTTCTCTCTGCATACATGTAAATAATATCCATTCTGAATAAATTAATAACAATTAAAATTTTAAGGTTTCCCAAACATGTTTGTTGTATGATGAATAAATAATTACAGTGAACCTCTAAGCAAACATAATTCAAACAGATATGGTGGACACAAACTGTGCGACCTCTGAATGTCTCCCTTTAAGCCACACTCAGAAAGTTGTTTGCCTTTTGGTTCTCCAAGACCCATCCTGAATCAAGATTTCCTATGCAACATACCGTGCCCTACAGAGAGAGTATCTTGAAGAAACTAAGAATTGTCTGCTTGTGTAGTATCTGTAACACAGTTACCATCCTGGTTATATCCTTTAATCACTACAGTCAGAATTATGAACAATATTACCCCACCTACTCACTTTGCATAACATTCTTTTTTCTGTGTGCAAAGGGCAATAAAAGAAATCACAAACAACCCACATAGAATGCACTATAACAAAGCAGAGAGTTGCTATATGAGCTCACCAGGGCAGAGTGCAATATTGCAAGGTTTATGTTGTGTTTCGGGTCCATCACATGATCTTCCCCCATACTGGGGAGGTATACATGACCTTGTTCTAGTTCTTTGGCCTCGACCACATGTGAATGAACACAAACTCCAAGGTGACCATTCCTCCCAAACGCCATGTACTGCAACAAACCAAACAGATTTTAACCAGAAACAGACACACAAATAAGAGAAGGATTTCAAAATAAGGAAGATCAATGTTTTAAATGGGAATTATTTTGCCAGCTTCAAGGAAATCAGTATATAGGTAATCTTCAGCATTGGCGAAGAAATCTTTTATAAAATTTAGTTAATTTCAATTTTAAAAGTATATTTTCTCTAAAATGTATTTAACTTTGAAACATTTTCTCTAATCATTAAACTAATCTCGCTACCACATTTTCTTTTCTGTCATTCTTTTAAGAAAGATGGCTTCCCTTTTCCAAAGTTAGTTATGATATCTTCGGTGCCTGACTTGAGATATGTTTAATAGCCCTGATTTTCAGGAGACTAGTCTTTGTGAAAATCAGGCATATATTTATGTATCAAGGCAACTCTAAAAACTTGAAGCAATCACAATCAAGCTTTCTTTTGAAAATATAGGAATAAATGCAATAATTTCTTACTGTCTCACCATCATAAATTGGGGCTGTTATCTTACAATTGTTTCACTTGTTTAAATTCTGGTAGAAACATGGCAGCACATGTGCTTGATTATCTTCCTCAAATATTCCAAGACGACATAAGCAAAAGAGATTTGCGCTATTTTCTCACATGAACATATTCATTGATTTAACATACACAGTAATACATGCATCACTCTATCTTAAAAAAAGAACACTCAACATACTTCAAACACCTTCAGAGTAAACAATAAATTACAAACACATACCAATATTTTTATATACAAGTATTTCATAAAATTAATATAAAGAATCATAGAAGATGCATCTTTCTCTACCTTAGATTTTTTTCACTGTAGAAGAAACTAATATGCAATATCCATACGAGCTTATATACCATATGCATTCCCTTTTCAGATACAATTGGTGTTAAATTTTCAGAAAGTTCTCTAATATATTATAGTTAAGCATGTACTGGTAAGACAATTCCATACATGCATTGGTAAAACAGTTCCTCATAAATTGAAAAATACTGCAAAACAAACTTTAGTTATTTTTCTTCTGCTTAAATAAAAGCAGTTGCACAGGTTTAAATTAGGCTGTGTAAGAACAGGAATGTAGTAATGAGAACTGTAGTAACGCTAGGCTTTTAACAAAAATCCAGAGACTTAATACCTAGACTGAGCATCGCACTCGGTTTCATATAACTTTGTGTGTTTCTGCAACTCTGTTTGAAGGGTGTCTGGAGGGTGAAATAGTGTACAACATCTCATTGTATCATTGGTAATAGTTTACAACATTACAGAAGAAACAGATTTTCTGTTTTGTCCTCACTTTTTTTCATCACTGTGAAAAAACTTCTCATCTACAGGTTTCTTTTGCCCTGAAGGCACGTATCACCTGCCCAGTTTCTACAAATAAAATCCTTTTCTTGTAGGGATCAGAATAACATTTCCTGAGGTGAAATTCAGTTGCCTACGGTGCTGAAGGAGGTTCAGCTCCCTGGCATATTATCACAAAATCATCAGTAAGATCAAGGGGAATTCTGCATGTAGGTAAGTGCTATTGTAATTGTCATTTCAGATGCTATGTTGAGGTAAAAAGTTTTTTAGCTAACTTCTGAGAAATCATACCTGACAGAAAATGTCAAGCTTTATTCAGGGAAGATTTTAACCCACTAGTTAACAGCTCAATTGATAAAAGGTTTATAGTTGGTCACATACAAGTGGTCAAAAAGCACAATAATTATTCCATGTCCTATATGGATAACTTATTAAAATTATTTTACTCGAAATACCACATCAATCTGCATTATATTGGCAAAACCCCCCTCAAGAACATTCCAAATTGATGTTAAAATGACAGATTTTAGTCTAGTTATTTTAGAAGCCTTGATTAACTGTAACATTTTGGTCAAAACCAGGAAACCTAACTCTTCTAAAACTAATAAATTGACTACTACATCTGCATATAATCTCTTATGTTTCATCTTTTCTCAACATGTACTATACTTAGACAGCTGCTCTGATCCAGCCATATGATCTGAAGACTTTTTTCTCATTAGCAATGTATTATATTCTGAATCCAGATGTAATCTAAGACTCCACATTTTTTACCATATAAGAAAAATTAATGAGAAACCAATTTGTCAGATCAGATTCCAAACAGTAGTCAGTAATAACAATGATATAATTTCATCTCCTAATTCCACAATGGTTGATCAAGATGCTCAGGTGCAACAACAAGAACTTCAAAAAGTACAAAACACAGCAAATTAAAATTAATCCAAATTAGAAAAATATTATTCTGTAAAAAATAATAAATTAGAAAGCTCTAGAATCTATGTAGACACAGGCTGAGGTTTTTCAGGGTACATATGAGTTTAAGACTAATGTTTAATTTGGAGTTTTGATTTGATGCTGTCAAAATATTATAAGTTAGTGTCTTCATTTAAAAATGACAAAAACATGTGCTGAGGAGCTCTTTAAAGATACTGTCTTGAGCCAAAAGGTTATATATCTCTTCTGGCAAGAGTGACTGCATGTTAGGAGCAACACAGAATAATTCTTTTGTGATTTTGGATCTGAACATAAGCCAAAACAAAATGTTTCACTTTGGGTGGACTCAAACTTACAGCAACCTCTATCTCATTGTGGTTTAAAGTAAGCTGTGTCCAAAATCATCTTCCGTGACAAATTTTAGCTCATTAAGTAAAAATTTCACAGTACTTTTTTTGTATATATAGACTTGTATATCTGAAACTAATAGATAACTAATAAAGTCAAGGATGGAAAAGGCATAAGAAAGCAACCAATGTCAGTAAACAAATATCAAGGAGAATTAATCTGTTCAATGCATCACAGAAGTGTGCAGTATTATCCAGATCAGCTATAAAAGAACATCTTAACTTAAAATTTCTTACCTTTGAATAGTTTTTTCTGATATTTCATTTACATTTTCTTTCTTTAATACCGTTTTCTAAATACAAAAACCCCTATAACATATGATGAATTATAGCCAGATGAGCTATGCCAAATTACACCAGATGGAGAGCTGGCCCACAGAGGAGTTACTGTTTTCTGTAACACAGTTTCAGATGCAAGATTCATTATTTGGGACAAAAATATTCAGATTATTGCCAACTTATCTGTCAAAAACATTGCTAGCACAACGAGTTTGGATGACTGTAGAGCATCTTTCCCTTCTCTCTACCACTCTGTGAACCTAATCATGTTGAAATGAACACCCACAGTGTTCACAATACGCAACTGCTGTGAAGTGGGAAGAGGCGTGAGGCCATGCTGGCCTTCATCCTACAAGCTTATTTTGGGAGATTTTTATTGGGGTTTAAATGCTTTTGATTTGTTCAGCTTTAAATTGAACAGATATTGGAAAGCTATTATGGTCATTGACGTTTCATTGTAAGTGGCATCATAGTTTAATATGGCTAAATAACTGCATCTAAGCAGATGCTACACTAAAGGAATTTTAAAAATTAAATTAGAGAGTTTGTATGCACAAATTTAAACTCACTTAAGTGCTATAGTTTCCTTTAGTATAGCTTAAATTGCCCAGTCAAAAATCTTTCTTAAATTCGTAATATGTAAACTCAGCAAACTTTCTGGCACCTGCCCTCTAACCTTCACATTTAAGCCATACAGCTACTCTACTTCTGCCGTGTCTCTTTCTAATTATAAACCTAAGTATTCCTTACTCTTATTTTCTTCCTCTCAAGTGAAGGCCTGAACTTCCACGACGTAGATTACTGACTATAAAGCTACAGGATTTAAAAAGATAGGGCTAATTTCTCTGTAACAATTTTGTTAGTGTACCATGCAGGCACAGAATACATCAAAATGAGCAACGCTTCAGCAACATGGCTAAACTTCATTGAATGAGCCCTGAGAAAAAAAGGGAGGTAAGCAGAGCAGTCTTAGCATATCATACCAGCCATATAAATGTTTGAAATGGCTTAGGGTATTCCTGCTCCTACTATGTCTTGCTTTAGCCATAAGGCTGAAAATACTGAGCTTCAGCTAAATTTTGTGGTAAAAGTTGTTGAAGGCAACGGAGAAGGAGAAATAGAAACTAATTGAGATGATCTTCAGGCATGGAAATTCCATGTTCTTTCTCCTTGAAGTTTTAACTATGTTAGAAATGACTAAGCTGAAATGAATCAGTAGCACTGCAGTACTGCATCCTGAAATGTCCTCGCTCACAAAAGAACCAATAAAAACAATGGTTACCTGAGCTATGTTTTGCTGCCTACTATGCTGCACTTTTCTAGAAGGCTCTTGATTCCAAGATAGGCTGAATTACCTAATGGACTCCTGCCCCTGAAATAGTATTGGTCTGGAACAAATACAAATAAACCAAAAATTATATAAATAATGGTTCCTTCATAATTTTAATTCAATTATCAGGAGTACTATTTTGAAATCTAAAGTTTTATTTCAGCACTTATA